ACTAGCTATTTTACTACTTTTCTGTCGCGCTGTGGAATATTTAGGCTGATCTAAACATCGGTAACCCGGCCAATTGTGGAGTTATATTGTAGGGAAGCTCGGGACAGCAAAAAACCGGGTCGAAAACGGAGCATCTGGAAGCCAACGGGAAATGTGCAGTTTTGCCAATGCATCTTTCCACGACTCTTGTCTGAGGGTAATGCAATGTAAGCCCGAATCAAGAGTCGCCACAGCTATGTGCTATGTACAATATAGTGTAATTTTCACGCAAGCTGATAATACATAAGTACAGTTGATACTTTTGATTTCCTTTTTTTTTTACTTCATTATGTACAATTTGCTATACTACAATAAAAGAAAGCTATGATACATAAGACTAGAATATTGTTTGTGATGTTGAGTTCCTTCGGCTGAAGAAAGTACCCCTGGTTAGTGAGGTCATGTTTATGCAGCGCGCTTTTTGTTTGCCTTGCCGCCCTGCCGACACGCCAATGACAGAGAATATATATAATCCAACCGAACAAAGTACATCATAGCGTGCCATAGGGTTATCACAGAAGTTAGAATAACGACTAGGACACATCTGCCGTACGATAGGTTTGCGACAGAAAGTTGAGGACATGGTCCGGATGCCCATGGACAGTCGGTTCTATGATAGTCTCGGTAATTGTCCTACGACAGAAAAATCGTTCGGTGAATGTGACGGCTTGATTGGGTATTTATTGTTTGAGTTCCGGCCATCAGTAAACCCCTATTTTCGTCTTCGGCTTTCTTAACGTGACAATGTCACCGTTCAAGCGTTACGTGCTATTTTTCACTGCGCATACATGTACCTGTTTGGCTGGACGTTTTTGCTGCATTGTGTCAATATTGCGGTCTGAAAGGACACAATGTAGCAGTGGCTGCCTTCGTGTGGTGAACACGCCACACGGCACGGTCGGGGGGCAGCGAAGAACGTCACAAAGTTAGTCTTGTCCAGATCTGTTGTGGGCAGTACATACATCCCGCTTCGTGGTGTAGCACACAAGTTCGGTACGCTGTAAAATCCGTGCATCCTGTCCTGAGGCTTGCGTCTTAGGCTTGCCAACACTCTACCGTGCTTGTGGCGTAGCACTCCTTGAATACATGTCAGTACCTTCTTCGACGGACTGCAGATCCTGCCGGGAGTAGGTCGCAAACAGGCATGATACACACGGGTTGGCCGTGACGGAACATCCGATCTTCTGATGCTGGATTGCTAACCGTTCCACCACAGCACGACACTTGTAGTCTCTACTACCTCATACCATGGCGGAGACGAGGAAACCCCTGGAAGGACAAGTATCCTCTGCAAGCGTACCCCGTGCTGAAGAGACGCCGCCAGACGCCGCGATGACCCAGGAGCACTGCCGGCTGCTCCGGCTGCACCGCGCCGCCCTGGTGGACCGCATGAGCCCGGGACACGTCCTGCCGGTCCTGGTCTCCCTCGGCGTCATCGGACGGGAAACGCAGGAGGAGATTGTCGGTGGGAGCGGCGACACCAGGCAAGAAATCAACGAGAGGCTGCTGAACGTCTTACCCACTAAGGGGGAGCGAGGGTACCACGCGATATGCCGGGGGCTTCGCGAGGGGAGCAAGCAGGGCAACCTGGCGGGGCTGCTGGACGGTCTTCCAGACGCTATCAGCAGGTCGCCCGTGAAGGGTGACTTGCGACACGACCTTGGTGATAGCCTGCAGCCGAGAACGAAGGATGAGCTGATCACGCGGCTTGAGACTCAGCTCAGACACACCAGGCAGTCGCTAGAGGCGCTACAGCAGTCCCGGATCCAAGCGGCACAGGAGGGCGACCACGCAGACAAGCTGCAGACTGCAGAAGCACAGCTGCAGGCGATGCAGGGCAAACTAGAAGCGCTGGAGAACAAACTCTCTCAAAGGGAAAGGGAGAAAAAGGAGCTGCATTCCCGACACGCCAACCTGAAGGAGAACTTTAAGAAGTACCGAGAAGGGAAGGAACTGACTATGGAAACCCTCAAGAAGGAGCACCGACAAAGCAGCCTCCTGAAAAACAAGTGCAACCAGCAGAAGCAGGAAATCGCCCACCTGAAGACCAAGGTCTCTGACCTGGAGAGGGCCTTACGGAAGGCCAACAAAACGCGCGAGGGGAAAATCCGTCAGAGAAAAATGGAGACCAAAGCGACGATGACAGAGAGAGACCAGGAACAACACGAGACGCCACGCCAGGAAAAGGAGAACTTCCTGCTCGAAGTTCAACGGCAACAGCGTGCCAGCCTCCAGCGGATCCACCTCCGGCACGATCAGCGCGACGTCGCGGCGGCTGGCGACAGTTTCCCGGCGGCCAGGAGGCAGTCTGAGAACGAGGATCGGATCAAACAGGTGGCCGCTCGGCGGCGCCAGGTGCAGGACGAGGAGAACCGGCAGGCGGCGCTGCTGAGACAGCGACAGGACCGCACTGTTGTTCGGAGGTTCGGGACGGAGGATACCAGAGTGGAGCAGCAGTACAGGAGAGACACCGCCGCCAGCAGGAACAAGTTTGAAGCCTTTCTCAATCAGAGTAAAATCTAGGCTCTTCACTCCCAATAGGAGTTGCCTGATACGAACATACAGCAAACTGAGAGGAAATGATAATTGCTGAGAGAACAGTAAGCTCAATTGACTTATGTTATAAGAAGCTCTAGAGGCAAACACAGCGCTCTTGGTGCGTTTGGAGTTTACAATAGTCTGATGAGTACTATCAAAGCTGTGCGCTTAGAAATGCTGCTAATACAGTGTTGTGCTGCACGAAATGTCATGTTGTTGCATTTCTATGTTTTGCTGGGAATATCAGATTTTAGTGTATTTGTGTTACTAGAGGTTGGTGGGGAAAATTATGACTTTTCTATCATATGCCCCATATTCTAGGATACAAAGGTTATAATCCCCTGACAAACCTCTACGTGTGTTGTTGTTGGATTGATAGCACTCAAAGATGGAAACACAGAAGACAGTTGCTTTCACATCAGAAGAATTTTTCATACAAAATGATATGTTTCGCATTTATACATTTCAACACAAGCATATTATTTTCATTAAATGATATTTACACAGTTTTCTGGTATAGGTTTTAAACTTATACATCTTGATAATGCTGCAAAAGACAAAATCCAACATCTGATACTGTTACATAGATATCACATGGAAATTTGTAAACATAGGTTTTGAAGCCTGTATTCTATATTACAATCTGTTAACTGCTTTACAATGTGTGTTCATGGTAAAGTGAAATATCTCAATAAGTTACATTGTAAAAAAAAATTGGAGTTTTGGAAGACAGCAGGATTCAATGAGTCGTCAATAGCCTGGAACTGCAGGCCTAGCTTTAGGAAAGCTGACTCATGAGTGATTAGTAATCTGGAACTGCTGACATTCAGCAAGGCTCAAGAAGCCCTCTATAGCCTGGAAATTCAGGCCTTCAGCAAGGCTGACTCATGAGTGAGTCCTCAATAGCCTGCGCAGCTCCCACTGAGGTGACCTCATCAACGTCTTTCTGCAGGGAAGAGGAGAAAATTAAATCAAACTTAAATCTCTTACTAGAGGTGTTTCAGAAAGAACTGTGCAATTAATCACAACTCAATAATCTCTCGTAATGCCTTTACTTGCTTCAGCCCTTGACTAACCAAGTTGCAAAATTATAAACCTGATACATAAACACAATATGATAAATGGCTGTCCTCTGTACTCACGTGATGCTCCAGCATGAGTAGGTCACACAGTCTCCGCACTTCCTTCCGATTGGACAACAGACTCGCCTGCTTCCTACAGTTGTACAAGAAAGGATACAACACAACAATGTTTGTCATGGTTGCTTCAAGGAATGTATCTCTTCTAATAAAGTTCTATATACCCGGTAACTCATATTATTACAGTGTCCAAATAACAGTCTTTCTACAGCAACTTATTTCCATGAACTACAAAATTAGCAAACTCTAACTGCCATCAATAAACATGCACTGCCATCTCGTAGTCACCTATAACTCCCATCAACTTATTAGTTCAGTGCCCAGAGAAGTTTCTGTTGGCCTGTATTGACATTGACCAAACTAGTTAAAAAAACTCCCTACCTTTGCTGCTGGTCCAGCCATCTTCTCTGCATCCTCAGGAACTTGGAGTGCTCCTTGTTGCTCTCCTCAACAAGTCTGAAGAAATAGAAAAGACACACATTTACTAATTTAGTATTAAGTGTTGTGCACAGTTTAGATACACTACAAGAGTCAAAAAAGCACAAATAATTTTTTTCTCAGAACCTATTTTCATGCTCCAGGAAATTGTTTCTATCAGAAATATACACTCCACTCCCTTGGGGAGAAATAACAGCCTACTCCTGACCTGCTGTAGCCTTGCTCCAGCTGTCTCACACTTTTATATCCATCCTTCACCACGTCAGAGTACGTCTGTGCCTCCATGGGGGGCAGTCGTGTCACCTGCGTGCGTCGTACCAGAACGTTCGTCCCCGCGCGCTGCTCCAGGTTCTGCTGCTGGAGGAACCTGGCGACCAATGGGCTGTTCCCGTGGATGTTGAACACGGCGTGCGCAAAATCTGGACCGCGACCAGCAGGGTGGGACTGAGGCGAGAAAATGTTAAATATGGGTTAGAACTATCAACTGTCAACCTAAAACTTTTTAATTCAACCTCTTTTGTGCACATAAAATTGGAGCTGTGCACTTAATTTTTAGCTGTGGATGCATAAGTGTACTCTCCAAGCAGAGGTTCGGGTTTTGGGGGTATTTTTAGCGTGTTTTTAGGCTTTTTTATCGGGGTTTCTCTTTTGCACTGAATTTTTTCCCCACCAAACCCAAATGTGTTGAAGTGATTAGGTTTATAGCCCATTGAAGCTTTCGACTGCCGGCAGAGGTTGGGTTTAGTGGGAAAAAAAATTCAGTGCAAAAGAGAAACCCCCGATTAAAAAAGCCTAAAAACACGCTGAAAATACCCCCAAAACCCGAACCTCTGCTTGGAGAGTAGCATAAGTGCACCTATTTGTGTGGGCAACATATATATATGGTAGACTAGTATCATCATCATAGACTAAGTATATAGACTAGTATACTGCATATCCTTGATGGTCTTTATCATCATTGGTCCCATAGCTTAAGCCCTAGGGGCAGTCCGTCTGTCCACAATTACAAAAAAAATACTATACCCTTGTTTTATTACTTGTTAGAAATTCTGAAGTTTACCTCTTTCTGTCTCTTCCTCCTGACGAAGTCCTCGTGGGCGAGAGCGTTCAGCATCTGTCGGTCCATCTCGGTGAGACTGGCGGCCGGGGCAGTGGGGTCCTCCCGAATCGGGGTCAGCGTCCGGTCCTGCTGGCCTCCTGCCTCCTCATCAACAACAGACGATGATACAGACGATCTGAAATAAACAAAGATCCAGCAGCAACATGAGCAATGGACTGATCTTAACAAGACCAACAGTACTCGTGGAATTAATTGGGACTTACAAAATTTTGAGTCCACCAATCTTTAAAAGTTTAAACATTCGTTAATAATGTTGTTTACTCCACTCTTCATTAAGGTATAATGATAAATTAATTGTGGAGCTTTAATATGACTCAAGCAACAGATTTGGGCAAGTCTGTGTCTCTAGTGTGTTGGATCAATGGCCCAGTCTTTCCATGATAGTGTATTGTATACTGCAATACAGATTTCACGCAACAACAAACCTGGAGCTGGCCTTGAGCTGGGGAGGTTTCAGGGTGGGAGAGCTGGAGCTGGCCAGGGAAGACATGGACGTCGCCCCAGCCAGCCTCCCCCCGTGGGTCGGGGAGCGGTGCTTGGCGGGACTGAGGCTGCGCGCTCGCCGTGGGCTGCCTCGTACGGACAGCTTGGACAGCTGCTGGCTCAGGCTCATGCTGGAGGAGTGGCCGCTCTGCTGGTCACCAGGAAGGTCCAGTTCTAATGCTGGGGGAGGGGGGCAAAAGGTCATTAGTCAAGGTCAGGGACAGGTGCTATTCACCAGGAAGGTTGAGTTCTAACGATGGGGGGGGCGGCAAAAGGTCATTATCCAAGGTCAGGGACAGCTCCTGCTCACTGGATGTTCAAGTTCTAATGCAGGGGGAGGGGGGTGACAAAGAAGGCTAAGATAATCCTGCCTGTCCGAGGAATAGGTCTCAGAAAAGCATCCATACCTGACTTCTTGTTCTTGCCCTTCTTGACGACCTGTTTCCTCATGTTCGGGGGTTCAAGGTCATACAAGTTCCAGCGCAGGTAGGACCTGGGCACGGGCTTGATGCCTGCAGATTGAGAGAGGTAATCAATACTTCAATGAATTTTTTTTTTTTTAACAATTCCTAATCCTATTGTGAAATCAAGTCCCCATGAAAATAAATGAATTTACAGTTACTGTAGTTGAAGGGTAAGCACCTGCCACCCACTCCCAGGTGAGGTCTGTCAGCTCTGCCTTAAAGTCGTCTCCAAACTGCTGCCAAGACGTTGGGAAACAGGCACAGAAGGCACTGTACACAGACTGGGCCAGCAGGTCAGGGTAGGTCTGGGGAAGAGTTTAACATTATTGTAAGCACACAGTAATTATTGGGTTTTGCTGTTAGGCAGCAGGGAGAGGTTATCTTATGCCTTCAGGTCTAGATAATTTTGTGAATTAGCAACAGTTTGAACTTTGAAGAGATAATATCAAGGATTTATAGATATGATACAATATGCATGAATAACTAAACAGAAACTTTTCAACACAACAGAATCGACAAATCCTATGAGCTTTGAAGAGACTGACCTCCAGAAAGACCTCTCGGTACCGTGGGTGGTCGGCGTACATGAGGAGTTTGACGTAGTTGTGTGCAATCCGGTTGAACAACTTGGACTGAACTGTCTTGTCAGGCTGGGAGAAAAGCACAGCAAAGTATTTTTTAGATACACGTGACTAACAGCAATGCCTATGGTTTACTTTGTAAATATTACGATGGTTATTATGCTCTTACACAATAATTTTACCTCTATTTAGGAGAAAAAACTTACATCTGACTTTATTCAATATCCAAAACTCTATGTATCATTAGGAACAGACACTCCCCTCAGATTCCTGGTTTCATCAGCTTAGCATTTACTTATTTTTCTAAATCTGAGAACCAAACTGGCAAAATATCATTTAAAAGCTCATCTCAATAGACTCAGTCTGCATTTACCATGTATCTGTGCAGAAAGAACCACCAGAAAGTGTCCAACAGGATGGAGTCAGACATCCGGGAGAAAAACAGACGACAGAACTCAGGCTTGTAGTTTGGCTGTGGAGGAAGGACACAAAGACAATACATGTACCATCAGCACATTGTACAACACATGCCACCTGTATGAACAGTTTCATCGGGCTGGTAAATCATAAAAAGTATGTTGGAACAACAAGTTGGAATGCTGATTGAAAAAACGTACTAGTATTATATCTCTTGGCATGTACTGCGTAGGCTTCACTATACATGTACATGTATATGCAAAGAGTACAGCTGCTGTACAAGTGTTTACTACAAATGGGTGGGGAAGGGGAAACAACAGAAAGATGACAACACCTGTGAGAAAATGCTGCAAATAAGTCAGAATCAAGACATGCATTAGGACAGCACATTACAATAATGCAACACATGCAATGACATAACACGTGCAATTATGCAACATAAGGAATATTGCATCACATGCAATAATGCAAGATGCAATACACGACACCTTGGCTGCAACCTTAACCACCAGAAGTGCATCATTACTGCAGACTCAGAAACACTCAGGAACAAATCTTTGCCTTAATAAAGCTTCTATAATTCATAAAATTCATGGACAATGTTTTCATCTAAAGCTAGTAGATGAATCCTATCTTTGCTGCTTTTGAGACGAAAATATCAATTAGACCATGGAGGTAAAAAGAGTCTCTTTTTACCTCCATGATTAGACTAAATACTTTGTCGTGATTATCACAGTTGGTTTAAGGTTCTGTCTCAGAGACTTCTGAATCTGCAGAGGGAGAATATTGGGTGCATCTGAAATAGACATGATTGTGCAGAGTAGGTGGTTGGGAAGGAGCTGTGCTAAAGTAGTAGGCAAATTTCAGGAAGAAAAGTGTTCCAGGTGCTGTGGGTTCCAGGAAGAGATTATTACATGCAATTCTGCTTCAAGGAAGAGTAGTGTCAGATTACACTGTAATGTTCCAGGAAGAGTAGTGTCAGGTTACACTGTAATGTTCCAGGAAAAGTGGTGTCAGGTTACACTGTAATGTTCCAGGAATACTAGTAGTAGTGTCAGATTACACTGTGATGTTCCAGGAAGAGTAGTGTCAGAATAGACTGTGATGTTTCAGGAAGAATAGTGTCAGATTACACTGTGATATTCCAGGAAGAGTAGTGTGCCAAATTATAATATTCCATGATTTTCCATCACCATTATGTTTTCACCTGTTATGATAAAAATACATTCAGTGAAAGGTGTGAGTGATTGAATAAATAAGTGACTAAGTGAGTGAGTGAGTGAGCGACCAAGTGAACGAGTACCACCTTGTGCAACACCTTGTACAAGCAGATGTCAGCATCTTTGGGAGGGACCTGGACCACACAGAAAAGGGAACACTTAAGCGTTAGATACACATCTTATACAGGAAACAAGACACCTGGTGTTAATCATACATTACATGTTACATGATATACATGACACCTGGTGTTAAACATACATGTTACGCAACATAAACAACATGTAGTGTAAAACATTCAATACATACATGTCAGGCAAGTGACAACTAATATTAAACTTCCTGTCAGAAAAAGTAGGCACTGCTTAGGGGAACATCATCATCAGACCATCACACCACTATGCTTGCCTGTGGAAAACAGTGCCAGGCTAGAGTCAAATTATGTACCTTGTTATTCAGGTCTGTGGCAGCATCAGTGACTCTTTGTAAAATGACCTCGGGTGGGATGTCACCTGGCAATGGGGTCAGGTCATTGGGGTCATACCCAGGATACTGCTGAAGCTGTAATTGGGGAGGGAGGAGGAACAGTTGACTGCACAGCAAACATGTACAACAATGGATTCTGCATGTTATGAATGTTGATGTCATAATCAAGTTTACATGTACCTCTCAGCCCTCTGTGTTTATGTTGTTTCTTTGCTTGAACTTTAGGTTAGAATGTTTGGGAACCAAGAAAGGAAACCTGTACATGTGTGACTCCTTATTTCCATCAAACTGCTTTACCTCCACTAGTCTGGGCTCTCCTCTCTCCTTCTTCCCTTCTATGGACTTGTCTGACTTCTCGGACCGTTCCTTGGGAATGCCAGGCTCTGGTCGTCTCCGTGAGCGGACCTCGGGAAGCATCTGTGAGGAGCGGCTGGCGTACACGCTGGAGAACTCATCCAGCTGCCGCTTCTCTCGTTCTGTGATTTTATAAAGGGATGGTAAGAGTACAGTATAGTGGCTGATCATGAGTGGCTAGGCATTTCTGGCTAGACGTTTTTTGCTAATACACAATTTACTTCACTCTGCCTAGGTGTATAATGAATCCTTGACTTGGGGAGGTGAAAGGAGAGGGATAATCCCGGATGGGCTCTATCTTCCAATACCATGCCATAGACAATGTATTGTACTGAATTAACAACCCACTGAACCTATGGCCTCAGTCAAAGGCTATTAGTATTGACCTTACTGGTAATACCTTTAACTTCATGTAGTACCTAATAAAAGCTAAAACCTGCAACATGCTCTCCAGGCTAAGACAAGGGTCCAAGCTTCTACTAGTAGCTGAATGTTTATCTACTGGAGGCTATTAGAGAGACTTTTTGGGTTAAACGACATGAAAATTGACATATGTATAGTAATCGTACACGTATCATACGTGCAACGTACATAAGTTGTTAAACACACATACCTCTCTCCCTGACTTTCCTCCTGAGTTTGGAGCTGGACCTCATGAGGAGGGGGTCAGGTGAGTCATCATCGTCTCTCCCTGATAGCCGACTCTCGATGACCAGGTGTGTGTACGACTGGAACTCCTGCTCCAGGTGCGAGATGCGCTCATTCACCTGCTGGATCGAACCAATCAGGAAAGCTGGCAGGGGGAGTCAAGGTTAGTATATCAGCTGTGTGGTACTGGTAGAGATTTTCTTGCCTATTTTCCACAATATTGGTTATCTGGGTATGCAATAACAGGGGGCCCACATACCCTTTTCCGAGGAGCGTAATCGGCCATTTCAATTCTTTGTAGAGCATAGACGGACCACTCTAATTCAACGTAGAGCGTAATACATTGGTGCATTTTGCATTGAGCGTAATTCGCCGTTTTAATTCTACGTACTGCGTTGTAGCTACCTGACATTTATCGTAAAACGCAATGGGGAGGCTTCTTGAATTTGGCGTAATATGTACCCGGCTCTCAAAATTTAGCGTAGAGCATTGCTGGGACCCCCCATGCATATGCAGGCCCTCATAACGGCATCACAGCAGTGGCATACATCAAGGACATTATACACTGCGTATAAGGCCATGTTGATTTGATTATATGGATGACATCCTCCGGGAGCCCCAAAACTGATGCGCGCGTGCGAATAAAAAAAAGTTTTGCAAAAAAAAAAGTTCTTTTCATTATGAAATCTACGTGGTCATGAGGGTTGAGCAAATGGCACAGAATATGGTTTGGCGAATAATCTAGTCTTCAAGTTCATTTCTTCACAATTTCGTCTTTTTTCGTTTGATTTTGGCATTCTACGACATTGGTATAGTTTTTATTAATTTTTTTGTAACTTATGGTATATTTTTGCTCATTTTGCAACTGTTTTGTACGATTTAC